TTGAAGCATTCGCTGGGACCACACTTGTAGCAGAATGATACCATTCCATTTGCCAACTTCTCTCAAATAAACGTGAATCGGATTCAGACCGACCTCTTCCAAGTGATCTAGATAACCTAGATGGTCTCATGCGCTCAAGGGCCCGAAGTAAAAACTCATCAAAATCTGTTGTATGTGATTTCGAACAAGAAGAAGTGAACAGGAGAAAGCTCAGAACAATTCGCATTATGGGTGCAGTATTCCTCCGGAATTCATCGCGAAGAGATCTGTCTTAATAAAATTCTTGGCAACAGATTCATAATCAACCGTAAAGGAACTTCCAACCCGATTGATAAGTAGCATATTGCGAATAAATTCGGCCTCTTCTGGGGTTGGATCCCAGTTCTTGATCCAATAAAAAGCACGTGAATCTGCTATTACATTATATACTAGATTTTGTGATGCAAGATATCGCATCATTTCCACTGTTAAAGCTCCATTTTTAAAATGAGTGTGGAGCGAATCCAAAATGAATCGACACAAACCAGGATGTCCATTAGTAAGACGAAAGATCGCATCCGAAATAGCCTCAGGAATGTTGAAAATTGAGCTACCCATCAAAACGCGTATCCGAACATAATTTTCTACAAGAAACCTGAATTCTCCCTTTGTGAGAAGTAGGGTTTTCAAACTAAGAGTATCGTTATCGCTAAATACCACCGGTGCCGCTTTATTTGCAAATGTTGGATCGTGGGTGCCGAGAAGAAGTATATGAATATCTTTATTGCACTCGCTTGACACAAGTGCCTTCAATCTACCCCAAAAGTATGCACATTTACCATAGATGGTCTGTATATCATCGATTAAAACATAAATGGTCTTTGTGATATCGTTGATTTTTGTCCAGGTATAACCAGTTTCTTTCCTCCAGAACTCTTCAAAGAATTTCTCATCTATTTGTTCTTTACCGTCTAAACTAGCAAGACTAATGAATATACCAATATGGTTGCATTCGATGAAGTAGTCTCGAAGCATCTGACCGAGAGTAGTCTTTCCTGATGACGGAGGACTGCGCAAAAGACCAACACGATTCTTTCCCATAAATTCAATGATTGTATTCAGTCTTTCACATGAAATGATAGCAAGACTATCACGACCCTCTTTTGATTCTGGAGGATACTCAATTTTTCCTTTCTTTTTGCTTCGATTTTCTTTTTCTTCATCTGAGCCTTCCGGTTTTCCTTTTCCTGATCGAATAAGAATGAGATAACTACAAGTTTTCTTTCTCGAGGTAAAACATTGGGAGACACTTACCAGTGGTGACAGGCGGTTGTACGATAATTCGGATGTTATTGGTGGACTCGTGAAAATATTCTCCAATAGTTTTGAATGGAGATAACCGTACACCTTGGTATTGTTCTTTGATGTTTTCGGCATATATTTTGGTTTCCACATCTTCACCTTCGGTAGGAATATTCACACTCCATAGCTTCAGTTTATCTGCGGAGATATGGTTAAAATCGGGTTCTTTCTTCTTCTTGATGATATTCTTGAGATGCCCAACGGTCGTGTCTTCACTAATATCAACCGGGAAAGAATTCTCAATGGCATCACCTAAAACGATGCAAAAAATCTGGAAACTCATTAAAAATTACTTTATAAAATTATATTATTAGTAGAATTTTAAATAAATACCATGATTTCTCCGGTATCAGATAACATTATATATATAAGTTACGAAGTCCCAATAATGTTTAGAGTGTTTAAAACAAAAAAATGTTTCAGTTCATGGCACGTAATCTGGTGTATTTATAATTTCCGTATGATTAGTGATGTTAGCAATTTCATAAACAATAATAATCAATACATCTGTATGTTTATGTAATCCTACTTACCGAGTATAAGGAGACTATCGAATTTATGAAGTAATTCCATAATTCAAACTGGGTGAAGCTATATTTATATTTTTTACATAATGAAATGATGTAAAATAACCCTTCCGTTAACCAGATCATTAGAAAATCGTTGGTATGACAGAAGAAAAATGAGCTATATGGATTTGAAATAGGACCAGCGGTGAGATTCGAATAAGAGGCCAAGGCTCTCAAAATCCCACTGAAACGTTCGTTCTTGTCATACCACAACCTGGATGAAGCCTTAATGAAATATGGAGTCTGGGACAATAGTATTTAAAAATCCCTCAGTTCACCTACCAAATTAATGAAAACGATCTGGCATTTATATTTTACATTGATAAAAAATATGGATCAGTCATAAATAACTATGCATTGTGAGTACATTTTGACAATTTTATGCGTCTTCTATCTCTGGCCGTGGGAGTTTTGGACATTTATTACGCAATCAAAAAATATGTTGGAGGAAATTATATGTATAAGGCTGCAATATAAAGGTAAGTATCGATGTTTCGAGTTTTTCCCACTATACCCACTTAGAAAATTTGAGGGTCTTATTTTTTATAAAACATTGATCAAAGGCGCTAATTACGATTTCGCTTTTTATAGTACGATATATTGTATAATTTAACCTAGCCAATCGATGACCGTCGTATATATGCACTTACTGATAATCAATTTACCCACGCGTGTTACCTACATTGCATATCATCACATTATTTGTTAAAAAAATTTTTTTCCGTACCTCCTTCCTCACAATATAGCAGTTGAGCCAATAACATTTCACAAAAAATACTATGAGTCACTATGCCTATCACTTTATTATGTCTTGTCAAAGGAAATAAACTCGCGAACTTTCCCGTTCATATTGATGAAAACGAGCTTGTTGGGGATCTTAAGGACGCTATCAAGGTGAAAAAGAATAAAACTTTTCATAGTGTAGAGCTTGACAATCTTAAGCTATGGAAGGTAGAAATTCCTGACGATCACGATGATCAGCTGAGCAATTTCACACTCAATGATGGGGATGAACTTCTGGCAACTCGAGACGTAGAAGACTACTGGACTGAGAAACCACCTAAAAGGCATGTCCACGTCTTAGTCGAATTGCCCGAGTCCACCGCTACTTCAAGCCGTGAACAGGAATTACTTGACCGGATCGCGTCGTTGGAGGCATCGATTAACAAGTCTGCCCATGGTACGTGTTTCAAATAATATGTATAAATTTATTCTTGGCAAAAAACCGTGAACACTGTTCACGATCAGAATATTTTCTTGGCAAAATTTTTTTACTAACCAAACCTTTGTATCGTAGAGTTCGACGTTATCGTGAGTCCAAAGCGGACAAGAGGATTCAAGTGGACGGAGAATATCGAGCAAGCAACTCTCGAAGCTCTCAAAGATTCTATATGTGCTGTGTATCAAACACTAGCTCTTGAAAATGATGGAGCGGTATTCAATGTTTTATGCGACAGCGGAAAATACTCACTTCGAAACGACCAAGCCATTATGTGGAATGCTCCGGTTGCTGGTATAAAAGAATAACCTCAAGTTTACCGTGTTCATAGAGACTCCCTCAAAGGCATTCTCGGATTGGATATTCCCAAAAGTATGTCAGCTTTATGGTATTAGCAATGACCCGAATCCCGACATTAACGTGTTCCCTCCTTTTCATGTGATTCTGCAGACCTAAACAGTGATAAGTCCAAAGCAGTGATTAAGCACCTAATGGCGGAAATAAAACTTCGTCAGGATGTTACTCCTCTCAACAAGGCAAATGAGGCAACAAAAAGGATTTATTCTTACTGTTATCTCGCTTCCGGGGTCTCGCTCTACAAAGATAATTTCAAGCTCATACCGGAAAAACTTACCGAGGGTCGAAATGGACAAGGGAACCTCGATTATGCAGTAGAGTGTCGTTCGACGGGTAGAGTCCTTGGTGTAATTGAAGTTAAGAAGATTTTATGAAGGGATTTGCCCAGGCGTCTGTGCAGATGGAATCAACTTTGTCACGTAAACGCAAGGCAGATGAAATCGATAATGGACAGAATGTAGATAGGGTATTTGGGATTGTTACCGATGCATCCGAATGGTATTTTATGGAATGTTCGCTAGATAATGAAGGGAAGCCATCGTTTAAGCTATCGGAACCAGTGACCGTTATGTACAAAGATGAGAATTTGCAAGCTAAGGTAGAAAAGGTCTTCGGGCAAATTGTATGGATATTGGAGGAAGCACGGAAGCCGGTGAAAGTTTTGGAGGAATCGAGTGAAATCAAAAGGGTAAGGTCAACGGGCGATCTTACCGGGAAGTCAGATAAATAGGTCTTAGTATAGAAACTTAATGTATCCCAGGAAAAGTCCCGATCTTTGTATTTATTTTTACACATTAATAAATTTTGTCAATATTTTGATCATGAAATTTCTTGCCAAGAAGTGATCAGCGAGTTCTTTATTAATGATAAAGATGTTACGTGATTTTTATTTGAAATTAAAGGCATAGATTAATAAAAAATATTTTCAAGACGTATACAGTATTCTTCCGAACATTTTTAATAAAATTATATAAACTGACATTAAACATGCAATCTAAAGATGATGAGTTGAAAACTCGAGACTCTGTCTCGTTGAGAGAATTGAATTCCAAGCTTGTAGCCGAGATTGCCGAGCTTAGAATGGCAAGATTCCCGAACTTAGAAGAGAGAAAGATTTGCTTATGGCTAGAATCGTAGAATTAGAACGATCCGCAAAAGAAAATGCAGAGAATATAAAGTTAAGA